TTGCTTGCAAATTGTTTCCCATCAAATGGACAGATGCTATGTTCTTCATATGACTCACAGGGTCCAAATGAGTTAGCTCTCATGTGATTTTTTTTTTTTGTACATGGTACATTCTGAATCATATTCAACCTCTGTGAGTACCACAGAGAGGCTACACTGTTTTACTGCTCTGCCTTGATGCTCCATGCCTTAATGTCTGATGTCAACATCTCTCATTTTTTACATTCTATCTCTGATATCACTTGCTCTGGAAGCCTTTCCAGGGTCCCTCAGAATTGGCTGGCTAGTCCTTTCTCTGAATCATAAAGAGCTCTTTTTGAAAAGCGTCATTTTATACCAGAACTCCTTATTTATAAATTTGTATGTCTAATTAGATTTCTTATAGTAGGTATTCTGGGTTATTCATGTTTATGGAGGAAGACAATGATAGATTTAAAGAACTGTGGACAAGATAGGGTGTGGTGGTGCATATCTATAATCCTAGTACTTTGAGACAAGAGGATCATGAATGAGGCCACCCTGAGCTACTCAGTGATACTTTGTCTTAACACAAACAAACAAATAAACAAGTAAGCACTGGGCATGGTGGCACTCACTTGTAATCCTAGCACTTGGGGGGCTAGACAGCAGGATCTAGGGTTTGAAGCCAGCCTGAGCTACATATTGAGACCCTGTGTGAAAGAAAACAAAAACAGCAGAACAACAACCAAACAAATGAAGCAAAACAAATATTTCCAACAGTTTGTGAATAGTATAGAAGTCCTTCATATTTAGCATTTCATATGTATTTATATAGATATGTAGCTATAAACCTTAGATTCACTTTCCTAGCAACCTAACAAATTAAAATGTGAGCCAATACACCAGCTGCAGGCTGGGTGTTGTAAGGAGTAATAAGTCAGCTGATCTCAAATGAAGAATTTATCATGAATAATCCATGCAATGGGCAATTTACACCTACTTATGCATTCCGATGGAGGGGAAGAGAGGTGGAAGGCAAAGAGTGGGGTCAGATATGGTTTCTTTCTACACACTACAAATCCTAGAGAGGACAGACAGCTCCCAGCTGCCAATGCTTTTGCTGGCTTTCCTGGCAAATAAGCCCAGAGGACAGAAGAGGCCGAAAGTCAAAGGCAAGCAAAGAGGGCTACGATGACTATAAATCACATCTGTGTTTTGGGAAGTGTCTCTGATGACTGGAATAGCACCAAACTGCTTCCAACCCATTATATGAAACCAGTAAGAAGAAAAGAAAGTAGAATGGGGGAAACAAAGACCAAAATCAAAGGCCAGGCTCCCTTTCTCTCGTCCAAGTACTAACCAGGCCTGACCCCACTTAGCTTCTGAGATCAGACTAGATCGGACGTGTTCAGGGTGGTATGGCCGTTCTAACAAATACAGAATGGAAGAGAGCCACTTGCAGATTCTGAGTCCTTGGGATAAATTAGCGTGAGTGCCAAGGATGCTATGCAGACATTTGTTCCAGATTTGCCTATTGCAACACCTTTAAGATTTCACTTTGAAAGTTAATTATACAAATCTAGTATCCTCTGAAGACATTCGAGCCAATTTTTTTCACCCAGCCATGTTGCTATTAAACCACAGATAACTGCAAACACCTCTGTGATGACTTGACCACTAAGAAGTTTAATAAACTGAGTTTTGGCTTCCTTCTCTACAAAATAGGTAAATTCTTTTCGTCACAAAGTTATCATCAAGATCAAATGAGTAAAACGAAAGCATTTTTGAAAATGTTGTATCTGTGCACGTGACAGAGAAAGAGGCTCCTTTAGATCCTCTCAACAAATCCTACCAGGTCCAGGGAATGAGGCAGTAGCAGGAGTGACAGAGCCAGGAGGTTTGCATTGCATGCCTCAGTTTTTCATGCAAAACTTACTCCCTTCCCAGCAGGCTCTGCAAACAATAGTAAACCACTAGTGCTGAATGAGGACCCAGACTGCAGAGGGACCCGATGGGGTTAGGCTAACACTGAAAAACTACTTCAGAATCCTTCCTGAAGGTAAACCTCTCAAGATAAACAATGCCACTTTCATTACAGGACTCCAGGATCCACAGTGTCCCTTGTCCTTTCCCTGGCCCCATGTGAACTGCAAGTCTGGCTCATTCATAGTCCCCAGGTAGTTATTCTGAGCCTGCCTTTCTCAGTGGAAGAGAAGGCAGGGAGGTGGCCAAAGAAGGCGAAGGTAATAAATGGGACCACCCATTCAGAAGAAAATTGAGTCAGCTGAAGGGGAAAGGGCAGGGAGAGGGTGTGAAGTCCTTAGCCCTGGGGCACCAGGAAGAAAGGCAAGGCACAAAGGAAGGAAGAGGGCAGTGATTTAGTGGTTGTCCTGACAACCTGAGCCCCAATTGTTCATGGTGACTTTACCTCACAGGGAGTGCTCCTCTCTTGGCTGAGGGCATAGAACCAGCACTGCAGGGAAGGAGAAAGGAGGTGGAGGGAAAAGAGCTAGGTAATTATGTGCTCTTTACTCAGAAGAGGTCCAGGTCTCCAAACTTCCCCAGATATTAGAGGTACTAGAGTTAAGAGTGTGCTCAGCCAAGATTTGGAAAAGAATTACCTCAGAGCATATTTAAATAAAAAGATATAGCAGGGCTTCAAATTAGGCTGTGATTATGGCTAGAGAAGGCTGGAAAAGACTAGCCTTGAAGACAAAGGATCAACAGGAGAAGCAGATGTCCAAGATAAGAAGCCAGAGAAACACTGGCAGGGTGAGGGGGTAAAAAGAAAGGTAACTGTAACAATTACCTGGTATGGAAGAGTTACCTAAGGGTTCAAGTTTACTGTTGTTAGGCTGATTTTCAAAACCTTCTCAAGTTGAAAGCTATCCTGATATGAAGGTGTATTAGTTACTTTTCTGTTTCCGTGAGGAAATACTATGATCATGACAACTTACAGAAGAAATAGTTTATTGCTTATGGTTGCAGAGGGTAAGAGTCCATCATGGTGGGGAGGCATGGCAGCAGAGGCAGCCAGAGCAGAAAGCTGAGTGCTCACATCTTCAAGCAGCACAGGAAGCAGAGAGAAACTGGAAATGGGGCAAGGCTATGAGCTCTCAAAGCCCACCCCAGTGACTTGTAACCCTCTACAAACAGCACTACCAACTGACCAAGTGTTTAAACACATGAGCTTATGGGGGATGTTCTCATTCAAACAACCACATAAGGATATAAGGACCGAACAGTGGCAACTCCAGAATCTCTGCACAGTGGGAACTCTGGGAACATCATTTGTGGCTAGAAAACATGGGGAAGTAATACACAGAACAGGAAGAGAAAAGAAACCAGAGGAAGAGAGGAGGGGACTGTTGGGGGCTAACTTTGATGTTGCTTTATACAAGGAGTCTCCTTCCCAAGAGGGCTCAATTCTCCCTAAGAAATCCAATCCATTGTTGCTGACATTATATTGCAGCTAGACTAAAGAATGTTTGCTACCAGTGTACCTCTGCTTCTCTCCTGCTCCACTATCAAGGTCTCTTCCTTCACAGGGCACTTAGAGACAATTCTAAGGACAGAGTAAAGAGCCAAACGGCTCTGGAGGGGGTAGCTCAGTGGGAGCACACCTGGTTGGCATGTGAGGGGTCCTGGGTTTAATCCCCAGAACGTGGAGGAGGGAGGGATCAAAACTGAGTGTTAATATGTGGTTGCTTCTCTAAAGCAAGCTAATTGGAAAGAGCCATATGATCTCAATACAGGGCTGAAAGAAATAGGAAATGTCCATGATTATATTACTGACTCACAAAACTAGCATCAGGGCAACCTGGGCCTGTCTCCACCTTAGTGAGATAATCACACATCTCTAAACCTTTGGGCTTCAAAAAGGCTCTGAGTATGGATGGGCAAACTAGCTCATAGAGCCTACTGACAAAATTCTTCCAACTCAGATGTCTGACTGGTTCATTCCATTCTGAATTCTTAACGGATGGAACCTACTCAAAGGGGCATCTCTGGCAGAACACACTGATCAGAGAAGAAAAGTATGCTCAAGACCCATCAGAAGAAAGGGTTCAGGAAGTGTGAAAGATGGCAGAAACTCTGCTTGTTTATGTCACTGACACTATGGAGTAGACTCTTAATCATACAGCAAGCCACAGAATGGCTTGGATAGTATCACCGCCAGGGCAATGGAACTACAATTGCACACTAGGTCTTTAAGAAAGCACATGGACACTGCTGAACCTGCAGCGCCACCTGGTGCCTGCAAGGAAAAATCCTGTACTCATTTAGCAAGCTGCAGGCATGCCCACATGCACTCATTCAGAGTCTGGCTAAAAAATATTAAAAATTAACTTAAAGGCTAATTTTTATTTAAAAGTATAAGTAATGCACCTCTCCTCTGTTTAAAAATCTGTCAACATTTGATGTACTCTTTAGCTTAAATGATACCTGCCTTAAAAGGAATAGCCCCAAATATACACCTTTATCTATAAAAATTTATCCTAAAATTCTCTTTCCTTTAAATAACCTTGTGAGTAAGGCACTGCCATTCCCATTTGGTTAGTAACTGAGGCAAAGGGAGGTTAAGTGACTTTCTTTCTAGATCACACAGATAGTGAGATACTAGGCAGGATTTAAATTCAGATCTGTCAGACTTCAAGGCCTAGAAGATTCATTTTCTCTGCGTAGAACGAGGGAAGTCTAGAAGGTCCGACTGCAGGGCATACTTCTAGAGAGGATAAGCTCAGTGGGTCTCACAGTGGGGCATAAGACAGCCACGTGCATGTGCTCTTTTGGAAAGGAGATTGCCACTGAAATGGCAGATGGCCTGAAAGGAAAGCCTCTTTGTTTAGGCTCAACCATGACTCTGGAATTGGAGCTGCCCAGTTTAAGACCTGGGAATATGCTGTGGGAGAGGCTGAAAGACTTAGTATCCATCTGTGTGTCTTGCTGAGAGCACTGCTGGGGATGCCCTAAAGTTCTCACTAGTGATGACAAAGGGGCTGATTCAAGTTGAGTAACATGTGACCTTATACACTTGCCCATTTGACACAAATTTAATAAGCACCTATGTTTCAGGCTAGGTGTTTAAGATGTAATAGGACATAGTCTTTGCTCCCAAGAGTCTTATACAATCTTAAAGATGTTGTCAAAATGTCAAATTCTCAGGTTCCAATGTGTAGTTACAGGTAGGCAACAGATACCAATAATGAAAGGTTTTGGGTTTAAACGCCTTGATAGTCTGGTTTTTTCCCCTTCACATTTACAATGACTAGTCAGCACCTCTACTTGAGGATATGAGAATTTAAGAGTAAGGAAAGTACACTGAAGTACAAACACATAATTCACAGGCAGAGGTATTCCATTACAACAACCTGTTACAATGCTAAAGACACATTAAGTGGAGATGGTCAGAACATGACAGAAGGCATGTGATGCTTTTAACATTATGGTTTGAGAGTGAGTGACATCCACCTCCCAAATGCCAGGCAGACCACAAAGGAAAAACTGCTGGGGCCTCTCCTGGCCCAGTCCATAAAGGTCAAGAGCTTCCTTTAGCATAGGCTACTGGAAGAGACATAAGACATGCAGCAATCCTTCTTCCCAAGGAGACACAATACAGTTCCAACAAAGCCATCACCACAAATGATGATGATGATGATAATGATGATGATGATGATGATGATGATTCCAGCATTTCTGAAAGCAGCCCAAGTCAATAATACTTTTAGAGTAGAAATAATATAAGAAACCTCAAGATTTATTTGAGGTTTGGATCTGGGACTCCTGAAAAAGTATGTATTTTTTTTCTGGAGAAGCAGTCCAGGAAGAGATCAGGCATATGATACATCACGGCACCAGGGCTGAACTGGAAGAAATGAATGAAGTTAGGAGCAAAGGAACAGATTGCATCTGTTTCCTGACTCTGAATCTTCATCTTGATACTTTTCTCTAATTGAAAGTAGGACACGGAAGAGAAAAACCCAGGGAAGACTATCTCTGGCTTAGGAGTGCTTAAGAATAAAATCAGAAGAAGCTGATGAAATGAATTTATGTTGGACTGTCAGATGCACGTGACCCTGACCAGTCTGACGGAAAACAAAAGAACAGACAGCAATAAGACTCCACATCTTTCATGTGAGGCTGAGTCCAGTGCCACTGCCTTGTGAAGAAGCCTGCACAAAAGAGAGGCAGTGTAAATACAGGAAGTCCTTGGGCATTAAAGTTGGGATCACTACGATTTGGGTTATTTAATCTGAATATAATTTTCCTCATTTGTAAAATATGTCTATTTCACAGAATTGTACACTATCACATGAAGTATGTAGCTGCTTACCTTGTACAGTTAGATGTAAAAAATGCCAGCTCCTTTCCTGTTTAATTGCTTCTGTCCATTTGGTGGCAGGCCTCCAGTCAGGCCTCGTTTCCTTTAAGAAATATCTAATGTCACAAAGGCCCCTTAAGCTGCTGCTTACACCGCCCCACTAAGAAAGAAACCTTGAGTGGGGTTCTACCCAGAGAACACCTATGACGCTGGAGTGGCTCAAGAGAACAGTGGAAGGAAAAGAGTTCATGGTCTGCCACTGTCAGTCAACCTTAGAGGAGATGGGCGTCCCACCAGGTAGCCCAGCACTTTTTAATGGTCTCACACTCTGCCAACACCTTCTGACATTTCCTGGGAGATGGTTTGTTAAGAGGTATCTTTTCTAAGAAAAGGACTTTGTGGCTAAGCATAAGTTCTAGAATTTTCCATTCTATTTCCTCCTTGGTCTACTGCTTGTTGGAGTTCTAAAACCTGCATACTGTTTTCTTCTTGTTCTCTGTATACTTTCTGACTTTTTTTTTTTGCTCCCCTCTACTCCCAGGCCACAAAATCCTTTTTCCCCTATCTGTCAAGTGATTCCATTCCCATGTGCCCCTAATACATAAAACGTACTCACTCACTCTCTTTCACTTACTCTTTAAGAAATCTTGACAAAGATGCCAGGAATGTGTCTGCTGCCCTTTTGACATAGGGTCTGATGCCATCTTCAGGGTCATGGGGAGGGCAGAGCCACGGACATGGCATTCACGTACTCTGGTGCTGGCCTATCTCCTATTTTTATCGTGGCACAGCTCTGGGCATCCAGGCAAGGAGCTGGTCCAGCTTCTTCTCATTCCTTTACTCTACATCAGGACTCAAAAATAATTTCACCCCTTACCTTGGCTGGGTCTTCCTGCCCCAAGCCTTCTACCATCAATGGGGCACAGTACATCTCTCCTCCTTCCCTCTAACCCAGACTATAGCTCTGAGTACTTTTCTAGTTCCCTAAATCTAGTTCTGATGCATGCAGAGACATTACTTTCTTCTGTTTTCAGACACAAGGAGTTTGCACAAGTTGGATTCGTTCCTTGACTTAGACTGCTATCCTAACTCCCCTTCCCCTCCCAAATAAGGAGTTCTCCTTCTTACATAATTGGATGTTCCCAGCACAGAATCTGACATATGAGGTAAGCCACGCATGCGTGCAAGACTTCTCTTTGACTTAGCCATACCTTTTTTGGTCATCTAACTTCTCTTGAGCTTCCCTCCCCTCCTCCCCCTCCACACCATCAACAATCAAGGGAGATTTACAAGGCTGGCACAGATCAGAACTCCAACATTGGCTTAGAAGGAGGGGTCATGAGGTTGAATTTACTCTGTCTCACCGCCCCCTCCCCCTGCTTTGCAGGCTAGAGAGTATGCTTACAATTTGGCAGGAGTCCCTGGAGTCTAAGGCAGTTCTGTATATAGGTCTTTTAAGGGAGCAGGGAGAGTAGAGGAAGTTGGAAGTGGCAGACATAAACTTGTCTGCTTGGGGATGGTAATGCTGGAGGGGCAAAAGTGAGGGCATTTTAAGGAGGCAATGCACCTGCATCTTGGTGGCTGGCACCATCCTTGATGCTCAAACTGCAGAGTGTTCAAGATAAGTACAGCAGCAAGAGCCACCATTATGGCACCAGTGACAACCACCTTGCTCCCCAAAGCCCAAAACATAAAGGACAAGAGCCCAAGTGTCACAAAAGGATATGCCTCAGCTGTCTGTGGTTTCAGACAGAAACTTGGACAACAGTCATGGGGACACTGGGACCTCACACCACACCCCTTGTGGTAGGGTCAGGGTGGGTATACTGGGGAGGGTACTGCAGCTTCAGATGAGATCAAATTCCTAACTTCTTTGCTTACCAAAGAAATAGAGTCAAAGAGCATGGCACTATGCAAACTACTTCTTAAAAATAGAAACTACAGCCTGCTCAGGGGACAGCAGCATCGGCTGACATTAGGAGTTGGCAGTGCTCTTTTTGCTACATGTAAGTGTAGATATGGAAACATGATTTGGATTCTATAGAGTACCTGATAATCTCCTCTTAGGGAATGTTTCCTGCTCTGAGTCAAAGACTTTTGGGTTGGTTCCCTTGAAAGTACAGGAAAAAGGTCTGATTCTGAAAGTTAAAAGAATCACTACAACTGAAAGTAGAAAAACCGGATTTTAAATTCAGTGTGTAATAATATATGAGAGTTATGATTTTAATAACCCGATTCTTTGTAAGCCATTGGTGCCTCATACACAGCGCTTCTTAAGATGACATTGTAAATATGCTCAAAGTCTTACATACTGATGTCTGCATGGAGTAGTGCCTCAGCAGACATCAGCTGGCTAGCAAATACCCTGAAGCTGATAAGAGTAACAATATACAGACTCTGGACCATCTTTTCCATGTCTACCACGCATGTAGGGACTTGCTAATGAAAGACTATCGGCCCCAGGAGTCAGACCCTTGAAGTCTTTACATGGAGGAGACCTGGTTCGTTTTTCAAAGACCATGGCTTTTCCTCCTCCTCCTCCTCTGGAACATTGCAAAGCTAGCAAAAGATTCTGAGAATGGGATCAAAAATCCCACAAAAAGATGGGAACAATGATTTGTAGGGAAAGATAAAAGTATTTACTATAAACAGGAAAGGTAAGATGTTTCCCTTTAATTTTGGTCTATGGAAGGTTATGGTGAGGAGATGCTGACCAACTATAGTTCTTAACAGTGTGGCTAATGGAAACAAAATGGCCAAGGATGAAGTCTGATTAGACGTAAAAACTTTTTGGCAGGAAAGAATATGAAATAACTGAAGACTAAAAATATCACCCAGAAATATCTATGATGAACAAGTATTACCGAGCATAATTATAGATTCTCTGAAGTAGCCACAAAACTCTATTCATGTATAATAGTCATCAAACACATCCAGAATGTTCCCTGCTTTTCCAAACAGTGTTTCTACTACATAAAACAAAAACAAGCAAACAGTAAAACCCAAAGAATGAAAAGTGAGAAGCAAGGAAATCAGAGGGAACTCAGACGTGCTCCCCACTCCCACTCCACGTATGGCTGGAGCTACAGATGGGTTTTCTACTTTTCATTCACCAGACACCTGTCTATCTGGCTAACTGGATCTAAAAGACGTATCCAGGAATGAGGGTAGAAAGGGGAGGAACTTAGCTTTACTCCACAACTCTTCTCACCAGGAATAGATTCCAGAAGCCCTCCCCACCCATGTCTACAGGAACACCCGCAAATTTGGAGAACATACTGAGTACTTGCTGGCCTGTCCTGGACAGGGGCCCATGTACTCTGCTTCCTGATGTGAGTCTGGGGATGTTCTGGGTTGTTGTTTTAACAAAAGAACCCACTGGCACAAAATTCCCTTGAAAGACCCCCCCAAGCCTTCACTGTTCGGAAAGTCAAATCTGTGTGGCTCGAAGTCAGGCACAAAGAGGATGGTGGCAGCTGGCAACAAGAGACTGGCACGGTAGAGATCCCGAAGACAGAAAAAGCAGGGCTAATGTGGAGCCACTAGCTGGAGGTATTAGAAATATAAAATATTTTTTAAGTTTTCCATTTCTGAAGAATACCTAAGGCCTAACATTTATTGGACACTGTGTAATGCATATTTAAAAAGCTACACTATTACTCCCATTTTCCAGATGAGAAAGCAGAGCTCAAACGGTACAGAATAGTAGCTTGTGGTAGCAGAGAAGAAACTGGGCTCTGGAACCTTGGAATGAATGCTGGCTCTACCACTCACTGCCTTTTAACAGAGGGCAAGGCCCTGGGTTTCAGTGTTCACTCCCATTAAATTTTAAAATACAAAAAGCAGGGACTGTGTCTGTTTTCTCTACTACTGAATAGCCTTTAGTAATACTGAAGATAGAAGACAGAAATAAATCCCTGGCTGGACAGTAAGTCAAGTATTGTAGTAAGTATTGCTGTAAGTCAAAATTTCCACCATTGAGGCAAGACTTAGCTCAGTCTTGCACAACCATTGCTTTTTTCTATCCCATTCATTCCCAACCGCTGGCACCTGGCTTAAATCTTGAAAGGAGCCTGGTCTTTTCTGTTTATTTGGTCCCTGGGGGCTTGCTTCCTTTGCATCTAACTTCCCTGGGTTTGCTTCCTATAACTCTCAGGATAAAGTTCTGTTTTTCATCTGGACTGGCCCCCTTTAATATTCTGTTATTCACATTTCAGGTTAACTTCTTCAAATTTCTGAAATATGGATTTCAGTCTTTTGTCGATCTCTCCTGTTGATTCGCTACATTTTTGCTCTTATTGAATAACATCTTGTGTTCTTAAACCAATTCCCTATGTAAATGGCTTCAGGGGAGGGGGTTATCAATTATCATATGATACCTAGTTGGGGATCTTTTAATTTTTTTTGTTTTTGTTGTTTGTTTTTTTGACTGGGTCTCCCTAGCCCTGGCCTGCCTGAAGTCATGATGTGGACCAGGGTGGTCTTGATTTCACAGAGATCCAACTGCCTCTGCACCTCTCAAAGGCTGGGATTAAAGGCTTACAGTGCTATGCCCAGTGTTCTTTTAACTTTTTTAAGCACTTAGAAGATCAGTAAAGGGGAGATCAAAATACAGGGCAAAGAGAAATGAAGGCCTAATTTGCAATTACTCATAGGTGACTGGATAAAACACAAGAAGCCTATACCTTCTATTGTAAAATTATCAGGAAGAAAAATGTTTATTCTTTGATCAAATATTTAAAAAGTCTCTCTACTAGGTCCGGCACCTGGGAAAGTCCTTGTGGCCCTTGAATGAACAGTGAAGGAGCAGTTTCTCAATCTTAGCACTAGAGGCATTTTGGGAAGAATATGGCATCAATGTATGTGTGGGGGAGGGCAGATGTGGGGACATGGAGGACAGGGTAGGGTATGGAGAATGGAGCTCCTATTCTAGACAGCATAGGATAGCAAGCAGCATTCCTGACCTCTACCCACTGGATGCCTGTCATGGGGCGTCCCAACCCTTCTTCCCCACTGTAACAACCAAAAACTTTTCCAATATTGCAAAATGTCTCCTGGGGACAAAAGTACCTCTAATTGAGAACCATTAGTTTGAGAAAGAGGCATAGTTTATATAATATACTGTCAAATGAGGGTAGAAGGTGCCTTAATCCTAGGCGAAAGAGAGGCAGTATGCCACAGAAAGCGTCACAGAACAAATGACATCTAGTACTCAATATCTGAAAAATGCTTATTACCAGGTCAAGTATACAGGAACAAGGCAGGTCAGAACCATGGACAAGAAATCAGCTGCTAAAACTGCCAATCTTTCAAGACATCAAGTTATATGGGGCTACAAAGCCTAGATTAAGTAAAGTAGCAAGTCCAAGTTTCCTTCTACGCTTTATGATCCTGTAAGCACTACGTACTGTTAAGAGAAGTGTCCACTGTGACAAGGTAGAGGACCCAGGGCTTGGGGTTGTAACAATGGATCTCAGTGTGGGCAGAGTTGAGTTAAATCATTCCAAGGTACAGGCAATGTCTGTAATTTAGTGTGCTATGTTAGAAGTCTTACACAACTAGATACAGACAAGGTGGTTTCTGACAGGCTTTTCCTCCCTGCACCTCTATAATAAAGATCTACCTTCTGCTAGGGCCAGTAGTTCCTTAGGCTCCTGTCCAGTACAGAAGTGAGCATCACGTTCAGTTTCTTGGCAATCTGGCAATCTAACGTGAAGACGAGCTCAGCAATCTTACCTCTGAACTAGAGTCCCCAAAACAAGGCGAAGAAATTTTTGCATGTTTTCAGTACAGAGCCATTTCCACTGTTCCATTAACAGCAAGAGGACTAGATCCAAGGCTGTGTCGGCTAACTCTGTCTCTGTTCCTGGGGGACAAAAAAGCACTGAAAGTAACTGAGAAAGAGAGCTCTCCTTGGGGAACATCTTTCCCAAGATGCTCTGGGGGAATCTCCTCTAGCTTCTAGCATTATCTTATACCCTTGTGATTCCTCTGCACTGAAATCAAGGGATGTCGACATCTAGTGATAGACTCTGCTTGTCTTGACAATTCTTTTGTGGTCCTGATGTTCTGTCACCATGGGTTTTTATCTTTTTACAGATTTTGCACACAATTACTTTACCTATCTTGCTTCTGTTTCTCCTTTATTTCTTAAGGACACTGAATTTATTTGACTCCAAATAAGGGCTCACAACTAATGACTAACTGAACTGGAAAGACCTTGTCCCTTCCACTCGCCCCCACAGTGCATGATGGAAATGTGGGCAGATAAGAGGAAATCTGGGCTCCATTCTCCTGCATAATCACCTCCATAACAGAGAACAGTGGGGTTGGGATTCAGGAGGCTTCAGTCTGATTGTGAGATAACATGTGGAGGGTACCACACCTCTGGTAAAATGCCATGACATTTGCTGATTACTTTCCTTTTTGGAAAACTGGAGGGGCCACAAATGAGTTCATATTTACACTTGGCTGAAGTTTCTGTACACACACACACACACAAATACAATTAAGCAGGAAATAAATCTTAAAATACGTGTGTGTGTGTGTGTGTGTGTGTGTGTGTGTGTGTGTAGTGCAAGTGCCCGAGGATGCCAGAAGGTGGCTGGTGCTCTTGGAGCTGGAGTTACAGGCAGTTGTAAGCTGCCCAAAGTGGGTACTGGGAACCAAACTCGGGTCTTCCATAAGAGCAGCAAGTGTTCTTTATCACTGAGCCATCTCTCTAGCCCAAGAACACATATATTTTATGAACAGAAACATTTATTTCAATCTGTGGAGGGAGTGCCATTTCAGCTCTGATTGCTTCCAGAAAAGTATCCCAGAAGTATGTTGCTGTTTCACAATGATTTGCCATATCTAGTTTTTCTACTGTGATTAATGTAACTAGTCATTAACAACACTTATATTCTAGGATCAATGGGGATTCTCTGGCCCAGCTGACCTCTTCCAAGAGTGTTTTAGAACACAAATCACTTGGACTTAGGCAGATCTGTTAGAAATGAATCTCACTTCACTTTAAACTCTGTCTAGAAAATATTTTCTTTTTCTGTGCTGTATTTCAAAGTCTGGGGGTGGCAATGATGAGTTGCTTTCTACTCTGCTCAAAGGTAGGCTATTCCTTCCCTAAGGAAACTGCCTCCTACTAAATGCTATCACTTTCCCAGGTTTACGGTTTGCCTGCAGCTGCCACCCTGTGGTAACATGCAGTCATAGCAGTAAAAAATAAGACAGCAAACAAGGTGCCACAAAAGTTGGGTTGAAGAAAATGATTAATGTTCTAACAAATGAACAGTTTGAGAAAAAGGAAGAATTCTGGCATAAACTATTGTCTTTGGGAAATGATATTCGGAATTTACAGGCTTGATTTTGGCTAGAATGCTGTTTTGCTGTCTTATCTATTGCTTCTTTTCTTAAAAATTTTTAGTGAATTTGTGTATTTCATACAAAACATGTTAATCAACTTTATACCCCCTTCAAGTTAGTGTCCCATATGTCCCCAGTGCAAGTTAATTCACTGAGGTCTAATCAGCCTATCTAGAGTCCCTCCCTTTAAGAAGATCAGATCTTCCTCACCCAGAGGTAATCAGCTGCCAATAATTCCTAAGATTGGGGCCTGTTGTCCATTTCCAAAGTTCTGTGTTGGGTTTTTGTCTGCTTGAGTTTGCATGGGACTCACACATGCTGACACCATTGCTGTAGGTTCATATGAGAAGGGTCCCAGGTACCTGTAGGACTATTTCTATATGGTCATGTACCTCCTCCTTGATTCTTACAGTCTTTCCACCCCCTCTTGTAAAATGATCCCTGGGCTCTGGGTGGGTGGATTTTTAAAATAGGAGTCCTGTCCAAAGAGTCATATTCTGTAGACACTTATTCTCTATGTTTTGGCCATTTGTGACCTTTTATGTTCCTGGCCCTCTGTTGCATAAGGGAGCTTCATTGATGAGAGTTGAAAAGATGCAGTAATGTTATCTTTATCCTTTGTTTTATGTTCTGTGAGCCTTAGGTTGCATTGTAGATCTGCCACTTAGGCTTGGGTAATTCACAATCCTGTGTATGACCAGTTGTGGAACTCTGTAATAATCTCTGTCTGTTGAAAAGGAAGCTTCTTTGATTGGTAGTGACTGGGATACTTGCCTGCAAATTGCAGGATCCATATTTTGCACATAGTAAGAAATTACATTTGTCTAGGGATATGACAGCCTTGGGGTTTTCTCTAAGATCTATGACCTCTCCAGCTATAAGTATTGGGCTAGGTTTACAGTACCACATGAGTTTCTTCCCACTGAGTGGGCTTTTAGTCCAATTAGGTAGCTGTTGATTACCCCCAAGATAAAAATGCCACTACTGCAGGAGTGTCGTTTGCTGTGCCTGTCATTGATGTGGTTATTAGGCCCTGAAGCTGGGGTTGGACCACTGATTGATGTTCTCCCTTAGCAGTTTGTGTAGTGCTCTCCAAAATTACAAGAGCTAGCTTTCAGGGGAGGTGACTTCCAGGTCAGTTCCAGCTCCACTGCTCCAAAACCTGTGTCCGAAGTATGTCCTGTCTTCAGCAATAGGGTCTTACATCCATTGCTTCTTATTTATAATTTCTTAGCATTCTCTGATACTTCTTTGCTGTCTTGTCACTTCACTCACTGAACCAGTGAGATATGTATATAGTTATAGGGAGATGCCTAGTTTGATTTCTATTGTTGTGATAAAACACTAAGACCAAAAGTAACTCAGTCAAGGAATGGGTTTACTTCTGCTTGCAGGTTATAGTCTAAAATTGAGTAAAGTCAGGTCAGAAACTTAATCAGGAACGTGAAGCACAAGCAATGGAGGAAAGATGATTGCTGGCTTGCTTCATAGGTTCATGCTTACTAGCTTTTGTATACAGTTCAGGACCACCTGCCAACGGATGGTGCCCCACCGTGGACTAGGCCCTCCTACATCAACTAGCAAACAAGACAAAGTCCCACAGACATTTCCACAGGTCAATCTGATTCAGGCAAGTTCTAAATCTAGGCTTTCCTCTCAGATGACTCTAGGCTGTGTCAAGTTGACAAATAAAACTAACTAAGGCAGGTGGTAAGTCCCATTTTGTTACATACTTAAACTGAGGTCCATAGGGCAGAAGTCAGGTGATTTGTTCTTGAGCACCTGAGAGAAAAGAGTGGAACTGTTTTTTTTTTTTTTTTTTTGAGATAAGGTCTCACTGTATAGCTCTGGCTGGCCTAGAACTTGCTCTGTAGACCACACTGGCCTTGACCTCACAGAGATTCACCTGCCTCTGTCTCCCACATGCTGGGATTAAAAGGCGTGTACCACCATGCCTGGCAGAAACTGGCTTTGTAAATTTTCCTTTAGATCTTAGGATTTTGTGATTGTCTTTCTTAGCAGAGGTTTTTGCTATACTAAATTGACAAAACTTTCCTCTTTTAATTTCTATTTCACAAACATAATACAAACTAGGCTCTGAATTCACCTCTATAGGAAACATATGACCTTCTCCTGGGAAGCAACTCTGCCCTAGCTCAAACATTTGTAAGTGGACAGTAGAGTTTCCACCTTTTCTTCTTTGTCCCTGCTTTGCCCTGGGGAAGAAGGTAGTACCATCTCCCACAGCAGTGAAAAAAAGCAAAAGGACCAGGTCTGGAAGAAGGTGAATTCTATTCTGACCATGTTGTATTTCAGTTACTCTATGATCGATTCATGTGGAAATGTATGATATTCCATATTTATGCATCACTGGTACAAATGCAAAGGCAGCCACTGACAGTCAGAATGGGATTACCCAGGTAGAGTGCAGACTAAGAGAAGAATGCAAACTAAAGTTCCCCAAAATGATGATAAGAAAACCAAAACAGCAACCAAAAAGGGACCAAAGGGTATAGAGAGAAAACCAGGAATGTGGTACCACAGACACTTGGGGAAAGAAGCATCTAGAAAGACAGTAGCCCTGATGCCAAAAATAACATGTTGATATTACACATACAGGTCTTTTCCTGCTGTTGGACTAGCTCTGAGAATCACTTCCTTCCTACTCACCTCTGGGCCCCAGCATATTCAACTCTTCAGCAGTATAACACATGGTTCTCTCAACTGAATACAAGAGAAATCAGAACTACAAAGTCCACCTACCCCCCACCCCCACCCCATCCCAATGGGCTTCACCCTGGCTCTTCTCTGTGGAAGCCAAGATTTTGCCACCCACCTGGGTCTTGGACTACCACAGATGTATCTGACAAGCAACCGTCCACATGGTCCTTGGGGATTTGGACAGGATCTTTTGCTGGGGCTTCTGCTGGCTGCATTTCCAGTAACTTCGTCTGTTTTTCAATAAATGATTCCATCCCAGACATGGATAGGATCGCCGATTCCTGAGAAACGGCCAGTGGAACAGGTCACCATGAATGCAGAAGGTAGAAAATGTAGCCCTCTAGATTTCTCCACCTGTCCTCTGCAAAAGTACCATGGACAGAGTCCACTAACCCCCATGGCTGCTTCAGGAAAACTTCCACTCTTTACCCAAGTTGAAGTAAAACTAGCCTGCTCTGAGATCATCAGTCACTTTCATATATACTCTTGGGTCATTTGTTCTTCTAGAAACTGGTTTTGCTTCTCATCCTGTCATTATTACCCCAAACCAGTTACCTTAAGAACAACTTGCCAACTGGGAACTGGCAGAATTATATAGCACTCAGAGGAAACACTTTATCATAAAATTTTAAGACCCAGATGTTAGTTAATGGGACACCTATATCTTTTTGACTTTACATATACTCTAAACATAGTATAATTGCAGATCAAGACCACAGACTGTGACTGAAGTTCTCTGGGCTTTGGTTCTTACCGCACTGCCTTCCTGGAGACAGTAGAGGATCCTGTCTTGTGTCTCAGGCACATTCAACGCAGGAGCAATTTTACTAGATGAAAACCTCAGTCTGGACCTGATACAGAAATAAAGTGTAGAATGTAATGCAATTCATGGTCTTGAGCCCCACAAAGAGGCTGGAAAGCCATGACAACACACTAAAAACAGAAACAGCCATGCTTATTCTAGGGGGCTTACTATGCTCAGAGTTGCCTGGAAGTGGCCCTGAAATCCTCCAAACTATGTATATTGTGCCAAGTCTTCATAAATAGTGCCATTTTTATAGTGTGTCTGTAGGATGTTTATGAAAGGGCTTTTGTCAAGTAAAATAGTGCCCAGTCTGTCATGGTTATACTCCCAGAGGCTAGATGACAGGCCAGTACATACTATGTGCTCAGTGAAATGTTTTGAAGATTAAATAGATAAATAACATAGACTAAGGGTTTCGTTAGTGTTGTTGGTATATTTTTTGGACAATCATTTGTCCCCCTTGTATTCCAAATAAAATCAGAAAAGCAACTGCAAGTGATAACCTCAGAAATAGATCCCCGCCCCCCTCTCCTCTTTTTTCCTGAGACAGGGTCTCACTTTGGAGCACTAGCTTGGAACTCAGTATGTAGACCAGGGTGGCCTTCAACTCACAGAGATCCACTTGCCTCTGCCTCCCGAGTGCTGGCATTAAAGGTGTGCGCCACCACCCCTGGCCTAAATAGAGGACTCTTAAACACAGGCATCATGGTTATTGTTTAACATACGGGTACAGTTAAAAGGCTAAGTAAATACTAGGACTGAAGAGACGGATCAGCAGTTGAGAGCATTTGCTGCTCTTTCAGAAAACCAGAGTTTGGTTCCTGGCACCCATGTCAAGCTGCTCACAATTGTCAGTAACTCCAGCTCTAGGGAATCCAATGCCTTCTTCTGAACTCTGCAGACACTAACATACATGCATACACACATGCACATAGACATACACATAAAAATAAATCTTGAAAAAAAGGGCCAAGTACTGTGAAGATAGAATTGCTACCTCCTCTTTACATGACCACTGAGAGAACCAGTCAGGTGAATATTCATTTAAATGCTCAGTCTCTGTCTCTCTATCTCTCTGTCTCTGTCTCTCTCTTTCCACATGTTGGTATGGAGTGCTGCCAGGGACCAGATGGGACTCTAGTATTAGAGAACAGCAGCATCAGTCAACCAGCTAATAAAATACACCCTACAGTTTTCCATTCTAGCCCTTTCCTGTTTATTGCTAGTATATGTACTTTCTGAGCCAAGATTTCCAGAAATAATGGCAAACAGAGATCAATTTTGAGCATTAATTTTAGTAGGAAAGAAAGATCTCAATTCCTACAAAAAGGAGACAATCCATTCTCTAGAATTTTCCTTCTAGTCAAAAATTTCCAGTCAGCTGGGCCCAGGGTTCCAAAGACAGGATCAAACTCTCAGACTCCTCTGGTGGAGCATCAGAGAACCCAGCATTTGCCTTTGCTGTGAAGCTGGTGTGCACCACCCACCTCTTCTCTTCTAGGAGAATGGAAGAGGACTTTGGCTGAGGACTGGGGATCAACCTGAGGAATGGGTCCCTGGGCCACTGAAGGGCTTCTCACTTGCTAGCCTTCTTGCCTTCTGTCTGGGGCTTGCTTTCATTCTCGGCTTCACTCAGCTCCTCTGTGGGGCTCTGGGGTTCAGAACGAGGAAATGCTGTCTTCAAGGTATCCACGATAGCACTCACCACCATCTGCAGGGGTTGAAGGCACACGGTCATAAGGCTACTCATATCCCTGATGGGAAGTGACAGAGAACAGTCATCTTCTTGAGCTTTATGCCACATGATGACAGAGTAAGACAAGCAATGCCATTGGACAGGAAGCCAGAGCAAACACAGGGATCGACGGAAAAACCTGGGAGAGTTCTTCAGGCTACTGAGGACTTTTTTTTTCTCCCCGCTTTTTTGCATACAAGGTGATTCCTGGTATCCAAACTAATGATACCTTCACCAAAGTATGAATTAATGGAAGTAACATAAGGAGGAACATAGTGAAAAAGAGCGAGGATAAAAACATTTAAAAATTCAGTTTAGAAGCATAAATATAAACATGCTTAATGTAGTTAACAAAGAGCAAAAAAGTTGGATTTTGCAATCAAGTCAAACAATTCTCCTCTTTAGGAAAGGAGCAAATAAAAAATCACTCAGACCCAAATTAAGCTAGCTGGAATCTTTGTAAATTTCTCTGCCCATAAACACAAAACCACAGTGCTGAGTAAGAATGATGTTTATTTTTCAGAATGGGAAAATGACATACATATATTTGCTATAAAAGGAAATGTACAAAGTCAAAAATTCTCAAGGAAATGAAAGAAAATATTCTTTTTAAATCACAGAAATCCGCCTACCTCTGCCTCCCAAGTGCTAGGACTACAGGCGTGCACCACCAAGTCCAGCTTGTTGCAATTTTTTTAACCTCATATATTAAAATATTTTTTAATTTATTTTTATTTTATGTGTATGAGTGTATTGCCTGCATGTATCTAAGTGTACTTCTGTCATGCAATGCCCAAGGAGGTCAGAAGAGGGAGTCGGATCTTCTGGAACTGGAGTTATGGATGGCTGTTAGCCACATGTGGGTGCTGGGAATCGAAACCGGGTCCTCTGCAAGAGCAGCCAGCGCTCTCAACTGCTGAGCCATCTCTCCAGCCCAACTTCTTTAAAAAAAATTTTTTTTAAGTAAATATTTCTTAATGTATAATAAAAAAATTTTAAAGTAATATTTCTTAATGCTCTACTGGTTCAGAGCAACACCAGGCTTCTCAAAGTCATGCCTGTGGTCAGCCTTTACCAGGACACAGCTAGTACAGCCAGGCACAGCTGAATAATCAACATGGCCACAGCAGACACTTGGAAGTACAAACCGGGAAAGGAACACAGGGAACAGCATGAGCATAAATAATGCAGCTTAGCAAGTTGAATAACTTCCTGGCTGGGGACATGGTATAATGGTAAAGATCCTGCTACACAAGCATGAGGCCCCAAGTTCGGATCTCCAGCACCTATGTAAAAGCTGGGTGCAGTGGTACACACCTGTAACCCCAGTGCTGGTGGGCTGGGAGCAGATCCTTGGGGCTTGTTGGCCAGTTAGTCTAGCCAAAACCAGCAAGCCCCAGGTACAGTATGAGACCTCATCTCAAAAAATAAGAGGAACGCAGGGAGATACTCCAAGTGGCCCTCTGGCCTCCACATGCACCCACATGGGTGAGGGCATCTGTGTGCATGTGCACACATATTCAAGAATTGTAAGTGATGGGAAGGTGCTCTTCTGTGCCCTCCACTTTGTCTCACTAGAAATTAGTACATAGAGTACCTTGCTCAAAATCATCACCCTTGCTACAATGTGATGATATCGGCCTGGAATCCCAGCATTTGAGAGGCAGGGGGTGATGATTAGCTTGAGAGTAGTTGGACTATATAGGTAGTTCCAGGCCAGCCCAAGTTACATAGTAAAACCATGTCTCAAAAAGCCCAAAGCAAATAAACAAACATGTACCCGATAAGGCAGATGTTGAAAGAATCAATGAAGACATCTGCACAGAATTCTGGAGGCTTTACTTTACCTAGCTGATCTCTTTCTAGTTTGTTCTTTTTCCCTCATAACAACAGATGTTTCCAAAATATCTATCACATGAAATTCCATTTTATTTTGTTCCCCCAAACCTAGATGAGAAGAAGATCCATCTCCTAACAAGTCAGTGTTTCCCAACCTTATAAAATTGCTGATGGTATCAGCTGAGGTTCAATGTATTCCACAAACACCTTTTTCCCACCATCTCTCCAAGTGGAGAAGCATTCTCCTAAAGAAATTACAATTCTGTATACTCTGTTCTCTAGCACAGAAGGACTGCACCAATCTACATCCAGGTTAGCATCCCATCTTAGGGCTGTTTCCTGAGTACCCAATAATGAAAATGACTTATCCCTCCAGAAGAGGGCCCTCAGCCATCTATGAAGTTCAAATCTATCCTTACATGCCTCCACTAAAATAATATCATAGTAATTCCTGGAAGTGTGTGTATACTTATACAAACAGGGCTACTGTCTTCTAATAACTGCTCCCTGTGATTCAACAAGTTGATGACCCTGCCAATACTTAGCAACAGGTCTAGAAAATTTTAGCCTATGTTCTATTGACCCATCTATGCTTCCTCTACCTAGGCCCTTCTTATTGCCAAGTACTGCCTCCTTTTAAAAAATTTTTTAGATTTTATGTGTATGAGTGCATTGCCTACATGTATGTAAGTGTACCCGTGTTGTGTGATGCTCGTGGTGGTCAGAAGAGGGCATCAGATCCCTGGAACTGGAGCTACAGACAGTTGTTACTGTCGTGTGGGTGTTGGGAATTGAACCCGGGTCCTCTGCAAGAGCAGCCAGTGCTCTTAACTGCTGAGCTGTCTCTCCAGCCCTGCACTGCCTCCATTCTAATGAACATCTCAAATTTAGAGACAGCAACAGATGCTGAGCGTAGTGGCACTGCTGTTACCTTGTCTATTCTGGAGACCATGAAGGGCTTCTTGACAAAGGCAATGCGAGCATCTGTGTTCAGAGCAAGGAATTCCTGTACCTCCTCACTGTTAGCGATCTCAGGAATGGCGCAGAGTTGCTGCAAAAGTGAAACACAGATTTTTAAAAGAAATCCTAGTTCCCAGTTCTTTCTACTTTGGGTTGGATGGATGTGTGGGATCAGAATGAGAGCAAAGCCAGAACAGAAGATGCTGACCTTTAGGAAGGACTCCAGGAGGCTTTTACGAGCTTCTACTTTGTCGCTGTCCATATTTCCAAACGGAAGGTCTGGGAAGAGCTTTTTAGGACCCTTCACATCTTCAAAACAAGACAAAACAAATTCATTCATTTAGTACTCAACACACAGGTATTCTCCAAAACATAAGAAAACAGATTGTTGAATATATTTCACTAGGATTTTTTTCTTTTTTAATCTTAGGAGTTCCAAGTGTGCCCTCCAGGGCTATGATGCAATAAATCTATTCTCATTATTACTCTGAAGAAATCATATAATGCAGTGGCTGTGCGGGCTCTGAAGACCAATGACCAGAGTTTGTTTTGGCTCCAATCCTTAATAATGTCCTTAAGCAAGTTGCACAGTATTTCTGTGACTTTGCTGCTTGTCTGTAAAAAGGGATAACAAAGTATCTATCTCATTGACTGTCAGGAGGATTGAAGGAACAGCACATGTACTTAGCAGGGAATCAGGCACTTTAAAGACTTCCAGTATTTATGTTACTAAGAAAGAAAATGCATAATTTATGCTCAAACATCATTTATTTAGGTGACTCTAAATAAAAGCTAAGTAACCATTTCCTACCTAATTTGCAGTTAAATTTCATTACATTTTTCTTATCTTACTTCTGCCTTGGAAGTGTCAAGAGCACATAAAAGGCTTGGTTTTTAAAGAAAAGAAGGTGGCAAGGATTTCTGGATTTTTAAAACTGATCACTCACAGATCTGGAAACACTAACTTAACTCCTCACACAATCTTCGAGGCATAGGTAGGAATGAATGCTTTCCTAAGTTTAAACTATACAAGACACTAGAGAAAAGCATGTAGTAGCCAAAGATAACCACTGAAAGGATGTGATTAGAGCTGTCCAGCTCTAAACCTCACAGCTTCTCAAACAAACTTGGGGAAGAGAGATCCTCAGGGCTATCTTCTCCCCATAAACCCACAGGCCACCAAACATTCAGATCAGAGTGGCTAGATGTGAAAAGCAAGCTGGCATTTGGGGTGGGGGAACTTCTGACTTTTGATGAATTTTCGTAGATCTGGTTTCTCCTCCAGACGGGTCTGCAGATTCAAGAACTCCCGGTAGCGGCGGTTCACGGTGTGGTAGGCCAGCTGCTGCAGGCCGCTGTTGTTTTCACCATTAAGGGCTGTCTCATACTGTTGAAGGAACAGTTATTGATGGAATCAGTAAGGTATAAGGAATGTACTCTGGCTTTAAGGACTACTTGTTCAGGGGCCACAAGAAGAATATGGCTAAAGGGAGGGAGCTGCTCATTTATGTTGCAGAACCTACTGCGTCAGATTGTTGTTGCCCTTGGTTGTCATGAACAACTCAAACTCCAAGGTGGCCAAATGAGATGTATTTCTTGATATCCCTGGCTCAGAAAGTCAGAAGTAAATTTCACTGTTCCTCCCTATTACTTCTATCCAAATCTCCCTGCCCCAGATGTTTATTTTATAAAAGTAGCTATATAACTTTCGCAAATCCTAAAAACGTAAAACAGAGGGGTGAATGGTAAGTGATCACTGCTGAATTATAAATGAGAATTTCAAAGAAAATCCAATACGCTCAACCATTAATGATCTATACTAGTTTGGGGAAGAGCAAATAACCATAAATAATGTCTTCGCTTGAAATGGTATTAAAAGGACATAGATTTTCTCTTTCTTTTTTTATGCCTTTTCTGTTTGCTTGGGCAAATTAATCTTTCTAAGAATTATTCTTAAAATTGAACTGAAATTCTTTGTCCTAAATATACATCAGCTGTATCATTAGAAGTCACATCATGATTGGAAATGTTGACTGGGGTCAATCTGCTGCCTTCTGTGCTCAAAGGGCCAGTGTGGGGGAAGATGACTCACACTGCACACTGCTGGAAGAGTAAGTGCCCTGAACAGCGTGGAAGCCGTGACCGCACAGGGAAGACACTGGCAAGGCCGCTAAGATGCAGTGAAATGCTGCTGCAGAACTCTGTATGTGCTTGCACCTATCGGAAGTAGGCTATTATTTGGTTGAAATATTATAGTGAGCTAACTGATTAAAAAAAAAACCTGTCTTTTTGCTGGAAAAACTTGAAGCTGGTGTTTGAGACTCTTACAGAGCTAGAGAGAGCAAGAGGGAGAGCGAGAGCGAGTGAGTGAGAAATATTCACTATGAGCTGCAGTGAGCAAAGTCCCTCTGACTAGTACTGAGAAGGAGAGAGACTGGAGGAGTTCAGGGCAGGACTTTCAAGTCTAGGGCACCTGTGAGTTAGGATGCTGTCTGTGGAATATTCTGCTCCTTGAGAGGCAGGCTTAATACTGATGTCTTCACTCCCACTAAACCATTTTACTCTCAGAAAGTGTAATAATAGATCCTTTAGAGTCATTGTTATAATAGGGCCACATGAACTTTAAACCTAATCTCAAACCACACACAGTTGGCTATATTTTGTTGCTCATTTTTCACTTTACTCTTTCCTAAAGACTACTTGAATTAGGTAGTAGCTGTTACCAAAATTTAAAGAATAAATACTGTGAGAAAGATTATGGTCTTAAAAATTCTTTCTATCAACTTAATTTTTCTGGTAATAAGGAAAAATTGTTGTTTAATATCAATTCTAGTATATGTCATAAATAGAAGATGAAGTAACCAGAATCTAAGTTATATATGAGAACAGGGCATGTCAGAGGGACACAGATTAGCAGAACAAAAAGGCAAGCAAAATGATCAAGCTGTGCTCCTCTTTTGAAGGTTGCCCAAGTTATTCATGATCAGACATATGCATTTCTAATATGTGCCTATTTTATACTGACTGCATAAATAAGTGCGCTTTTAATTACTCCCGCTGTCTTAATTTGAAAATGCGGTGTTACTTTTACAATGCTAGTTCACCCTGCAGCTACACTGGACAGGCTCCTTCCCTCTTTGTAGGATGGGGATTTCACTGGGAGGAGTCGAGTGTCTGGGCTTGTACTGGGGCAGTGCTGGGACTCAGAATTGGAGAAATTCAAGAAGGCAAGTTAAGTTTGATAGGGAACTGCCAAGTAATGTCCTTTCTAATCTTCCCTCTTAATTTCTTTCATTTTTTCCTAACTACTATATTTTGGCTTGGGAAGGTAGAATATTTGTATTTACATCAGAAGGTTGCATGCCTCCTTATTCCTGGAGGTATTTAAGCACAGACTTGGGAACCACTATGAAGAAATGATATGAAGAGATTTGGTTAGAGTAGCAGATTCCCCAAAATGGCCCTAGGCCATGCTGACTCCTTGTTAATGTGAAAGTTCCATTTAAAAAACAAATGTGGAAATCTAGGGACTCATTCCTAGAAATTCTCATTCAGAATCTGTGAGGGTCTAACAGAATCATATTTAAAAAGCAATTCAAGTGATTCTGAGGTGCAACCAGATTTGAGAACCAATGAAAAACTTGATCCCCAGTATTCTAATGACCCTGAGCCTCTAGGATGGCTTGCATGGTTATAGGATAAGAACCTATTCTGCCTTACAAATCAGCTGCACGCCATTCACATACAGCTGCTTGTTGAGTTAAACACAACAAATCGTTCTCTCCCTCTGCAACATCACCTTCACTGACTCTTTCCAAACCCATTCCCAGCTGAGTGTGACCACAGCTATGTAATCCTGTTACCTTCACGGTGTACAGTGTGTATGGGTGGAATCCAGTGCCACTGTGCTCTCGGGCCGTAATGGTGCCAGTGATACGAAGGTTCTGGATGACAACTGGGCCATCTGGACTGCTCAGGGGCTCGAAGCTGAAGGTGGCTGAGCTGAGAGGGCCAGGCGGAGAGGAGGAAAGTGGAACTGGTGGCAGAGCAGGATCGAGGGAACTCACACCACTGGTGACATCCTTCTCTAAGCATGAAGGTCGTGGAGGACAGGGCTTTTCTGGTTCCTCCAATAAAGCTGTAAGAGAGGTGACATCTTGTTCTGCCTCTTTGTCTGCTGTGTCAATCTGGATCTCTGGGCAGGAGTTCAGCATGGAGACCAGCAGGCCTGACTCTGTTTCTGTCCCTGGTCCCTCCTCAGCTTCTGCTCCTTCAGTGCCTTCAGATCCCTCACCATCTTTAGGCTCCAGAGCCTGGGAATCCTCAAGGGCACACAGGGCATCCTGGATCCTGTCAGACAGGAAGTTGCCTGGGGTCATAAGCATGATGGTTTCTTTGCCGAGTTCAGACAGTGGAGACTCCAGCTCCGAGTCTTCACATAAGAACAGGGGGCCTCGAATATCCCGCTGTAGAAAATGAGATGAATTATTTCCAACTTTTCTTTCTTCAAGCACCCCAGCCAAATCTCCCTCTAAGGCTTCGTGGCCTTCTTCAACCTCTGGGGAGAAGGCTGGCTCACTGCAGGTTAGGAGCACTGTGGCTGCTGCTGGAGAAGATGCTTTTCCTAATGGCTGACTCTCTACTTCAGCAGTCAGTGGCAGAGATGTGGGCACCGAGGGCTGCTCCACAACACTGGCAGAGCAGAGTGGTTTAGTCCCTTGTGCTGCATCATTTCTGGTCTTGGAAAAGATACTCACAAGTACAAGGTGGATCCAGTCAGGATCAGACAGCTTGTTAATTAGTGGTAAGATTACATTGCAAGTAATGAGTTCAACTACTACATGGCGGCCAGTCCTAGTCTCTAAGTGGGGCTTGGGTACTAGCTCTTGAAGTAACAAATTCACAACACCACGTGTATAGGTGACCTCAGCACTTGGGCTGTGCACTGCAGGATGGGGAGTAGTAGTCTTACAGTAAGCATCCCATAGCTGGGAGGGCTGAACTGGACAGCTCTGTTTCCCTGCAGTGGCCTCCTTTGCCTGAATGTAGCTCTGCAGGTGACAACCACAGAGAGTCAGAACCTTCTGGGCAAGAGCATGTCTGTCCACTATGCTCAGCCTCCTCTGAAGCTCCTGAACCAACCCTTTCATGGCTGCCTCCATCTCTTCCTGGAAGGCTGGCTCCTGGCTCACTGAACGATACCAGGATAACACAAAATCTCGAATAATCATCTGGATGGTACGGTTGATCTCCTGTTCCAGCTGTCTTTCTGCATCGGGACACGGAGGACAGGTGGCGACTGTGATGAAGCGTTCCAGATGCAACTGACCTGAAGTCCCTACAATGGCACTGGAGCCCAGCCATGCTCCCAGCACCACCAACAGTGCAGACAGAAAGCACAGAAGCCATACGTTGACCAGGAGGTGGATGACCAGGAGCCAGCCAAGCAAGACCCCCAGAACCATCAGCTTCCGGCTACTCCACAGATGACTGAAGATACAGCTGGACACAGGGGTATTTTCCTGGGTAGGGGTCACTGATTCTGCCTTCATGACTGAAAGAACGGGTGGCTTCCTCTACAGATAACAGCCCTTTCTTTCACTTTGGTGTCAGGAGAGAGGGCATGAACTGTCCCAGTTAAGAAACAAGAACTCTGAGCCCTACAGGCACTGCAAGGTGATAGCGACAGCTCGGCTTCGCCCGCTCGCTACAGTCAACAGAGCCCTCCAACTCGCTGCTTCCAGCGGAGATGAGACCTGGACCGCCTTCATCGTGGCCAGGTGGAGCGGCTCTGAGCAGCCCCGCGGACACTTACGAACGCCGAAGCAGAGCCGGCAGATGAGGATCACACGTCGCCGGGGTCCGCGTGCCCCGACTGTGCCCCAGTCCGGAGCCGACTCATAGGGGTTCCTTCCGATCGCTTCGGCTTGTTGCCACAGCGGGCGCAGGCAGCCGTACCGACTGCGCTCCGCAACTCCAACGCTGTCAGAGCTGCCGCCCGGCAGCCCACAAGCGACAGCTTCCGGGTCGCGGCCAGCGCAAGCGAGGCATGCTGGGAGAGCGGCCGCAGGCTGGAAGGGTCGGGCCGACTGGCGCCCCCTGGTGGTGAGGAGCCGTATCGACAGCAGGAACGCACAACCCTGCCAGCCAAGAAGCCCTGAGTTTGAGCTCCAGAAACTTGCTCCAAGCGTGACAGACTTTCTATTCCACCATCTTCAAAACGCGTCCAGATCCTATGAAGTGTTGTGTGTAAACACCCCTCTCTGCTTAGGCAATTATCAGTAATCCCGTTTGTTTTAATCATGTGGGGGGCGTGCTTTCAGTGGCATGATGGATTTTTTTGAAGTTAATAATATTATGTTTAATTAATATATAAAACCTAGAAATTTCATTTGATATTAACAAATATATAATGAACATACTTATATAGTTATATATTTACTTTATAAATTAAAAGTAACACATACTTCTTTGAGATACATATAAGCATTCAAAATTTCATTGTATATATCTCATTTGCTGGAAATCCAAATACTGGAGTTTTATTTTCCTCTGTTTCCAACTCAGTTAAACATTGGGCAGGTCACCAAATCCCTCTGGAGCTCTGTACTTTCATCTGTGAAGCAACTTTCTCTCTTCATAGTTGATGGTCCATTTCATCTGTAACATTTTATGAGTCCTATGAGGCCACCTAGTCCATTTTTCTCATTTAAAAAGTGAAAAAAACTAAAATACAGAGTTCAAGTGATTTGCTTGTTGTGTAAGAAAAGCCAGAGAGCAAGCCAGTAAGCAGCTTTCCTTCATGATTCCTGCTTGACTTCCTGTCATGACTTCCCTCAATGATGGATTGTGGCCTGCAAGCCAAACAAATCCTTCCCTCCCCAAGTTGCTTTTGGTCATAGTGTTTTATCACAGCAACAGAAAAGCAAATTAGAACAGTGGCTGTGCTTTCTACTTTGGCACAGGATGAATATCATTTGTATAGAACTGCCCAGTAGTTGCCCATCTTCAGCATCTGTACTCTGTTGACAGCCTTTTGTCATCACAGCATTTACTCTAAGGATGCTTGAAGGAAGCATTGGGCAAATTCTAACAAAAACTGTATCACCAAGGATATCACAGCCTTGTTTCTCATCTCCATCTCTACTATTGGTGCAAAAATTTCTTTTTAATGCAAAAGAAACCATCACTTACATGTGGTGTGTGGTTAATCACTAATCACTTCTAAAGCAAACAGCATAATTTAGGATCAAAGTGTCATCTAGGTACGTCTCTGAAACCCAAGAATGCTAGTCCATGTTTCCATGATAAACTCCGCTTCACAGTCACCCTCCTTCCCGTGGAAAAAGAAGTGAATGCTGCCGCTTTTGCCCTAGCAACCATTCTGTTCCTCTCAGGAACAGTTAGGAGCCAATGAGACTCTGATGCTCTGCTGCCTAGTTGAGAACTAAAGCAGAAAAGTGAATGGTGGCAGAACTAATGATGTTGCTTAAGGAGTTGCCTGGCAGATCAGAGAGAAGTTACTCTGCAGCATAAAGTACAATGTAGGGCAGTAAGGAACTGACCTTGTAAGTGGGCACTATGCCACATGACCAGATGGTCTGGAGCACTGAGGTAGCCAAGAGTGTCTTCCTGATTCTGAAGCAGATTTGATGGACATGCCAATGCACTTGTCATTTAGACAGGTATGAGCTTCTGCCCGGGGGTTTGGGATAGGTCTTGTCTCCAAGCAGATTAATCACTGGGAGGAGGGGAGAGTCATGACTGATATATAGTAGTGTGTGCATGTGGTAGGGGAAGCTGGCTGGTCAGCAGCACCACTAACCTCTTCAGAGGCTCTTCCTTCTTTTCTACTTAGCATTTCTCAAAACATTAAAGGCATAGAGTGTTAGAGATAAGAAGACAAACGAAATGTTAACTCACCTCAAGGGATTTTCAGTTTAGTTAAAGGCAAGACATACAAAAAGTGAAATGGAATTAAAGATGACCTCATGTTTAATGTGATGTGGTAGGATAGTTGCAACAGAAGTATGCACACACAAAGGACTGGTAGTCAACTGGGGAATAGGGTGACTCATAGAAATTTACTCTTAAGTTTGGAAACAGAAAAGAAGTGAGTGTATTTGGGGAAATAGAAAGCAGAGAACAGAGGCGTAGTGAAGGAACATCTTTTAGGTAGCAGCATGTGCATGAGACTGCACAGGGATTATGAGTGCAAAGGACACTGTGACAAGAAGCAAGGCTGGACAGTCCATACCATCCCTTAAATTTCTCTTAAAAATAGAAGCCAAACCAAGCTTGGTGTTAAAGGCCTGCAATCCCCACTACTTGGGAGCCTGAGGCAGGAGGATTAAAAGATCTGCTTGGGCCGAAGGGTGAGTTCAAGACCAGCCTGAACAACTTAGAGACACCCTGCTCAAAATTTAAAAAATATAAAAGTCTAGGACTGTAGTCAGTGGTGGAGTGCTTGCTGAGCTTATTCAAGGTCTTGGGTTTAATCCCCGGTACTGCAAACAAAAATAAAACCAGAAGACAAGGTAACTTACTTAAGAGAAATTCAATGATGCTCCAGGTGAGAGGTGGTGGGTAGAATTACTGGCATGAGAAATCAGAGGCAATGGAGGTCACACAAAAGAAATAGAGGGGCAGAGGAGCTAGTTGAGATCACTAGGCACAAATCTGTCATCACATCAATATATATTGCAGAGTTATTTTCTCTTGCAATGGTTAATATCCTCAATGTAGGAGAGAAACAAATTTGTTGCTATATTGAAATTTTTAGAGTAGATAAAGAGAAATAATAAGTGGTTAGGACCCTGACATCTTGAGAAGTAAGGTGTTAAAAAAATCATACTGTCTGGGTACCTGGAAAATGAAATGAAGGCAGGAGAGAGACAATCAGTTGCGAGAACAGGATTGGGTGTAGTGGGAAAACAGTATATGTGAACCAGAAAAAGGCTTATGGATAGCAATTGGTCTATTCCTATTGCTGATCTGTCAAGTTGCCACTAACCTAATGGCTCGCAGCAGCACAAGTTCATTCTCTTACAGTTTTGGAAGTTAGCAGTCTCAAGTGGTTTGGCAGAGCTGTGATCTTCCTGGAGACCAGAAGAGAGAATCTGTTATCCAGTCCTTTCCAGCTTCAGAGGCCACCTGCGTTCTTTGGCTTCTGACCCTATATTCCTGTTACCTCTGCTCCTCTGTGTCTGTTGTCACATCTCTTTCTCCAACTCTGACTCTCCATCCTTCATTACGAGGACCTCATGATTATGCTAGGCCCTTCTCTAAAATTCAGAGCCATCATCCCATCTCAAGATCCCTAACCATATCTATGAAGTTTCTTTGGCAAAGGAAAGGTACATATTCACAGGAGGTATGGGTAGGAGGGAGACATCTCTTGGAAGACAGTGTTTGGCCTACTACAAAGCAAGAATATCTGCAGATAAAAATGTTTTTTGGTGACTAAGTGTGAATGTGATCAAATAACGAGTCTCTGAAGTAAGATATGAGAGATATGAATAAATTATTAAAATTGAGCAAGGCATTTTGAGAGAGTGTGTGTGTGTGAGTGTGTGTGTGTGTGTGTGCGTGCGTGCATGTGTGTGTGTGTGTGTGTATGTGTGTATGTGTGTGTTTAAATAGAGTCTCAAACCCACTATCTAGTCAACAAGCTTGTGATCCTGGTGCCTCTACCTTCCAAACACTGAGATTACCGTTGTGCACCATAATGCCTGGGTGAGTCTAGGTCTATGAGGTGCATAATCTAGGTAGGCTTAGAAGTCATCAGTGTTAGGAGAGAGAGACTGTAAACATTGGTACAGAAGTTACTAATAAAACAGAATGATCAGGAGGTTGGAAGACAGGAGAAGAGGATGCTAACATCAATGGAGGAGGAAGCAGCTACTCATACATTGGAAAATAAGTTGTTTAAAAGGGCTGTGAAAACCCTACATATTACCAAAAGCATCTCTACCTCCTGCCTTAGAAGATGCATTGGCTAATAAGCAGCCACCAGAGGGCAGGGAGGAGCTTCACATCTTAAAGGGAAATGGTATCTCATTTGTTTATCCATTCATCCACTCCTGTATCTGTCCACTCATCCTACTAGGTCTAAGAAAGGTTTGAGAATTCCAAGACAGTCTATATAAAGACTGAATTGTGTGTGGATTCTCCAAGAATTCACGACCTAATATAAGGGAGAGATATTGATGCAATGTAAAAGCACTCTAATGGAAATATGTCAAAATATGAAAGTGCAGTGAATTAGGGAAATTTACACAAAATCGATGATCTTTGAGTTGACCTTGAAAGATGGGTAACATTTCCCAGAAGATCAGAGCAACAGGCCATTCTAAGAATGAGGAAACCATCTGAATGCTGTGTAAGCTCCTTTTTGTGGTTTCTTGGGACTCACGAGAAAATGTTACAGATCAAGTTTTTTAAAACTGAAATTTGTTTCTTACAGTTCTACATATTAGAGTTCCAAGATCAAGATGTTGCCATGTTTGGTTATTCTAAAGATCTCTTCTTGGCTTGAAGGTAGCCATGTTTTCACTATACCTACAGTTTTTCTTCTGTGCCTGGCGATTCCTTTTCATAAACTTGTACAGCCCCACTATTATGACCTTGCTCAACTTAATTGTCACTTTAAATTCATAATCTCCAAACACAGTCTCATTCTTAGGTATACTGAACATTAGGGCTTTTCCTTATGCGTATTTTAAGGATACAATTTTACTCATCACAGATTCTTTCTGTGTGTAAGTTATGTGAATAATCATGATTCAATAATCAGAATACTGAAAAGCAAGGCGATAACTCAGATGGTTTCTAATTTCTTTTCCCTGCATACAGACGTGGTACCAGGATTAACTTCCACTTCTGGTTACGTGGAGTACTACGTGCTCTGGTAGACCCTCCCACTGCAGAACAAACTAGACAAAGGTGAAGCACTGTGATGCATTAATGGTTCATAAGAGAATGTAGAGTAGGCAAGGAT